GAGAGACACAGCGAGAGAGGAAACATAAGCAGGAGGAGTGGGAGAGGGAGAAGCAGGCTTCCTGCAGAGCAGGGAGCCTGATGGAGGGCTTGATCCCAGGACCCTGGGATCAGGACCTGGGCGGAAGGCAGACGCTTAACGACTGAGCCACCCAGGCACCACTAGATAATTTAAATGTAATAAGAATTCAAGTAAGCACCTAAAAAAAGAAACTATTTGAAATATACTACAAACCTGGGGTTATACTAAACGTGTTTACTGGCCTAAGTATGCAGAAAAGCACAAATCTTGTTTATAGGGTTCCAAAAACCTACTTGTAAAGATGTGCGGAATTCGGGAACACATTTCCCATCAACAAAATGTCAGACTGGTAGTGAACTCCCAACCTGATCCATAAAGGGGCGTGAGAACTATTCCACACCTGTGTCTTAGCTGAACAGCACTAGTGTTCTAAGTGAAGAAAGAGATAATGCTAGGGCAATTAAAAGAGCTTCCCTCGGAGCAGAAAGCTCTCAGCTGAGTACCTCTCCAGAGGCTCTCCAGCTAAGGGATGCCACTTCCCAGGTCATATACCTTCTTTCTGGGGGCAGCCCATGTCCAAATGACCAGTCAAGGGGTGATGGTGAGTTTAAAGGCCCTGCCTCCATATCTCAAGGTGAGATAACTCTGCAGGACCATTCCAGCTCCAGAAGTCTCAGCTGCAACTGCAGAGCAGTTCAATTCCTCCCTCTGTTCAATCCTGCTTTCCTCACTGCCCAGCTAGCGCATTTCCAGTAAAATTCCTACACATAAAATCTCTGTTTCAAAGACTATTTCCAGAATCTGCCAAATTAACACTTAGTAAGCTCATATTATAAGTCAAGCACCATATATGTGTATGTAAGTAATGTGTCTGTAATATATGTTATAGGTCTTACTGTATATATATGGTTAGGTACTGTAATCCCATTTTAATTATGCAGAAACTGAGTCTCAAAGAAGTCAAATAACTTGCCTGAGATCATATGGCAAATAATTTGAGGAACCAGGACAGGAATCTATGCCTACCAAATGCACAACCAATCACTATATAAACTAGTTCCATTTACTAGAAAGTGTTGTTGAATGGATTAAAGGCAGATTCAGCTACCCAGGGGTTCTGGTGGCAGTCAGGAATGAGTGGTGTGATGAACCACCGTCATCCATAAAACAGGAATTAATAAAAAGGATCTGGGATCCAGGCCCACTGAAAACTAGATACTGTGATCAAGGGTTCATATTTTCTAGGCCTTAAGCGAAAAAGCAGTGGCCTAATGGAACCAGAATTCCAGAATGAAACTGCATAGTTATAAATGACTGCATGATTATTAGATCCTAAAAATAATGATTGGCAAATCTTGTCCACCTACAATCAAAATGCTACAGTATGTGCACAGATGTTTACTATGTAGGAATAGGATGGCACTTCATCTCTTACTCCAATTCCTACAAAAAGCTTCATAAACCAGGATCTAAAAATGTACTAAGAAACTTAGTAGGAGTACAAAGTCCTTACGATTAATATTCAACTTACTCAAGATGCACAACTGCAACCAGTTCAACTTCTTCACCTACAATCCTACCATAGCTTCCCCAGCTTTCCCTAACTAGCAGTCCTCTTTTATCGAATAAGCAGCTATTTATACCTACTGACAGGCAGTGAACAAGTAAGAACTAATAGTACCCTTCCCTGGTGGCCATAATGCCCAAGAACTACAAGACATAAAACAATTCTATAAACTCCAAGCTACAACTACTATGTACTTGTACCAAGTACAAGCTACAACTACTATTAACGTCATGAAATTGGCATGCTTGCATATGCAGATCACAACGAAGTTGCACAGTGAAAACAAACCCTTTAAAATTTTAACAGAATTCAGATTACATCCTTAGAATTATTTGATTTGCAATATTCATAACTGCAAAATCTAATGTCACAGTTAAAAAAAAAATTGAATATACTTAGAAATACTATACTGGGGTATACTTAAGTCACTTAAGCAGTCAAGCGTCTGCCTTCCGCCCAGGTCAGGATCTTGCCATCTGGGATCGAATTGTCTGGGAGTGAATCCCGTGTTGTCAGGCTCCCTGCTCAGTGGAAAGTCTGCTTCTTCCTCTCCCTCTGACCCTCCCCAACCCCACACCACTCATACGTCCTCTCTCTCTCTCTCTCTCTCTCAAGTAAATAATCTTTTAAAAAAAAACAAACCAACAAAAACTGGGGCCCCTGGGTGGCTCAGTCAGTTAAGTGTCTGCCTTCAGCTCAAGTCATGATCCCGGAGTCCTAGGATCAAGCCTGAGCCCCCCACTGGGCTCCCTACTCTAATGGAAGCCTGCTGTCCCTCTGCCTCTGCTCTTCTTGCTTGTACCATCTCTCTCTCTCTCTCTCTCTCTCTCTCTCTCTGTCAAATAAATAAATAAATAAAATCTTAAAAAAAAAAAAAAAAAAGATTGGACTCCCTGCTCAGCAGGGTGTCTGCTTCTCCCTCTCCCTCTGCTGTTCTCCCTGCTTATTCTCTCACTCTCTCAATAAATAAATCTTTAAAAAAAAAAAAGAAATACTATACTAGTCCAACTGACATCATTCCAAAATTCAAAAATAATTGGCCTTATTGGTTGATTCTTGAGAATCTGCATATCTATTGCCCCTTCCTTTAAAATTCACCCACACCACCTCTCCCACCCCAACATTATAAAGTACAGCGTTACATGGGGGGGGGGGGAGCATTTATAATTTCCTTACTTTACTTATCAGTTTTGCACACAGGAGGCCTTAGCATCCATGTTCAGGTATCAACTGCGGTGAGAAGTTCTTCAAATTAAGGTGGATCATTCGCTGAGACATGATACAATGTTAGAACCAAATGCGGCATCATAAAATACAGTTCACGGATCAAAGTTTGTACCTTCTCTAACCCTGACTATGGCAATGTTTGGCCCATTTCCTCCCTTTTTCCCCATTCATTTCCTAAAACAAGCTCCAAATCAGCAACACACAGCTTCACACAGACATATACAGAACTGCTAAATATACCGGAGTTTGCCATTTCCAAGGAAATAATCAGGACATCATAACTAGCTTGAAGTTTACAAAGGAAGAGATATCACCAGCCTAAGAAAAAAATTTCTTCACACCACCTTAAAGTTGTCTAATCTTTTTTTCTAAAGAATTATTTTTTTTATTTAATTAACATGGAGTGTATTATTAGTTTCAGAGATAGAGTTCTGTCTTTCAGAGAATAAGGAAACAGAGAACTTGAAGCTTCCATACAGACCAAAAAAAAAAAGGGTAAGCCACACCGCCGCCAGACCTGGAATGCAAGCTCCTTGAGGACCAGGATGTCCTCTCTTGATTACCACTGTACCTTTTAATACTTAGCACAGTAGTGGTAACACTGTAAGTGTTTAATAGTTTTTGAAGGAGTGAATGACAGCTATCATTCGTTGATCACTTTCCTTGAGGAACTTTAGTAAGCACATTAGAAACATACAAGACTTTAAACAAGAACAGCAAACTGGTAAAGAAAGTGACACTCCAAGCCTCACCATAACCCTATGAGGGGGTCAATGTAATAATATATATAATATTTTTTCAATTTTAAAGTTGAGGAAATCAAGTCTGAGAAAGACCAACGTTCCCAAGAAGGCAGAGCTCTAAAGGGCTAAGCCACAAGTCTGTCTTCCTTTCCCTCTGCCACATCAATACCAAAATAAAGTGTAGAGCTTGGAAAACAAAAGAACATGGAGAAGACAGCCTGACCAAAAACTGCATTATCACACATTCAAAACCAGGATGTCTATTCCTAGAAAAAAGAAAAACCTTCTTATTTCAATATTGCAGACACACAGCCAATGGGGCCTATGGTTCTGTTCTTAACAGGCTACACTTCAATCTCCTATGTTCAGAGCACTGTGGGGTTCAGAATTCTAAGTGCAGGTGGCCGTTTAAAAAGTGACTGATCTGCATAAAGAATGGCTTCAAAATATGAAAAACTACAAGTTAAAAGCCAGATACAAAAATCCTATTCTCCCTTCATTAAATATATCTCTATTCCCTTCCCTGAAAAACCGCCTGAACAGAGGAATTCCAAGAACTGTCCAAGAAAGAAGTGTTTGCCGGGCACCGTGTAACGAAAGCCATGCCTGTGCAGTGACAACGGCAATCCTGTCCATTCTTCCCTACGTGCCCCTCCAAAGGTGCATTCAGGCACTGCCTAAGATTAGTTGGCTTCCTTCTAAAACTGTGAAACAGAATCATACGGAGGTTTTTTTGTTTTGTTTTGTTTTTAAACTCGGGTCTGAGAACGGAAGTCAAGTTCAGATTCTCTTCCTTCCTCAAGCGAGCAAGAGAATTAAAGAGCGCGCGCGCGCCAGCACTCACACACACATACACACACACACACACACACACACACGCACACGCCCTATAGTAAAAATGTTTCGGGGCCTCTTCACCTGTGGCAGTTGCCGCAGCAAGTCCTGATCTGCAGGGATTTAAGGCTCTTCCTCATTCGGAAGGAAAGACGGGGAGCTGAGGGGGACACCGGGAAGAATGAACTGGTGTCTAAGTTTCCAATCGGATCCTTCTTCTCAACTTGGGCAGCTCTCTTCTTCCCCCGCCCTTCCCCCACGGCCCGGGGCACACACTTGGTCCCGCCAGGACCCGCAGGGCCGGAGGGGAGCACAGCCGCCGCCAAGCACCCGGCGCCCCTCGGAGTCGGAGAAGGAGTCGGGAGTCGGAGGCGCAGCCGACCCCGGGCGCGCGACCCGGGAGCGGCAGATACCCCAGGAAGGGCCCGTGGAATTGTTGTTGCCGCCGCCGCCAGGCGTGGGGACCGGGAAGGGGCAGCCGCCGCGGGGCGGAGAGGCGGGGTGAGCACTTCCTGACTCTCGCATTGTCCACGCACCGCCCGCGCCCCGCCACCGCGCCGTCCCCGTCGGGGAGGAAGTTGGCGCTCGCCCCGCCAGCCCCGTCTTACCGTTCTTGGCGTCGCCCGCGGCTGCAGCCCCCGCGGCGACCGCGGCGTTGGCGGCGCCAGTCCCCGCGCCTCCGGTGCCCGCCGCGCCCCCGGTGCCCGGCGCTCCCGCCGCCGCCGCTCCGCAGCCGGCCGCCGCCGCCAGGCCCCCCCCGGCCGCCGCGCCCGCCGCGCCCGCCGCTGCCAGGGCCCCGGCTCCATTTTCCTGCTCGTCCCCGCTGCTGTTGGCGCGCTTGTTTTTGCGGCCGCCTTTGCTGTTTTTGGGGTTGGGCATCTCGCGAGCGTCCAGGTGCCCGGCGTCAGCGAAGGCGACTCCCCACCGCACGGCCGCTCCCGGGCCGCGCGGAGCGGGCTCCGGGAAGCAGAGAATGGAGGGCGCGGGCCGGCGGCTCCTCCGGCGCCCGTCTAGCCGCGCGGCCCGCGCCGCGCCATCCCGGCCGCCGCGCCCTCTCCGGCTTCCTGGAGCCGGCGCGCGGCCACCCGAGGCTCGCAGCCGCGCGAGCGCCGCGGGCTCGGGACGCGAGCGAGACGCTCCCGAGCCGGAGGGAAAAGGCGGGTCTCCGGCTTGTTTTGATTCGGCTCCGCTGACACGCTCTGGCCCCGCCCCCGCCCGTGACGACACTGGGGATTCGGTCTGGCCCCGCCCACCAGGTGACCTCACGGCGGACTGGCCCGCCCGCGTGACGTCACGTTCGCGCTGAGCCGGCCACTTTCGAGTGACGTCATCCTGGCGCGCTCACCGCGGGTTTGCGGAGCTGCTGGGCATCTGCGAAGCGAGCTACGTGAAGTCGCGCCCTAAGCCAATCCGGGAGCGTCTCAAGTAGTTATTCCGTCGCCTCCTGACCTTTATGTGAGCAAGTCTTAGAACAATATGGTCCGGAAAAATAGGCGGGTAACTAGAACAAGAAATGAAAACAAAGGATTTTGGATTAGTAATCCATCAAAACACCTTCCCCTTCAACATCTGTTCTAGATTACGTAATTACAGATGCAAGATTGAGTTCCCAGACAATGGAAACAAACAGCAGAGTCCCTGAATGAGAACCCGGCACAGTGTGGTGGTGAAAGTAGTTCATACAATCAGGACCCACCATCCAGGGATAAAACTAAACGTTGCCTGTGATCACGAAGCGGGTGAGGGGAAAACCCAACCCCATGGATAGGGCTGAGCCGTACTGAAAAAGAGATGGCTGCGTTGTGAGCAGGCTAAGGTTAGAACGTGACACCTGTGAAAAGAGGCAAAGACATGAGGGCAGGAGAAAGACCCGTGGGGAGAGTTTTACATGGGCTCGCATTTCTGCAACTTTATTGTCTTTTCACAGACCAGCTCCTTCCCAAACCTCAGGTCCCAAATCAAGCGCATTTCCTTCAGTATGTTATAACAGAAACCCCTTCCCGGAGGAGCTATCAGAAGTATCATTGTTTATTTGTCTCATCCATCTCTCATTAAGTTGTCCATGTACATGTTTACTTATTTCCTATCCATATCCTTCTTACTCACATGAAGCTTCATAAGTAGTAGATTTTATCAGTCTTGGGCACCTCAGGAAACAACAGCTAGCTTGTATTTGTTGAGCGTATAAATTAGACTCTTTTTTCATGAACTATAAAGGAAAAAGTATTTTAGCTGACAATTTACAGTTTTCCCCTCCTATAGTGTAATCTTTTTTAATTAACCCAGCTCTCCAGTAAAGGCTTGGTGGCTGTGTTGGAAGGCACAAAGAGACAGGCAGGGAAGCACAAATAAGAGAACCCTCCCGGTGCTTCTCACCTAATGGAGGGATTCTGACTAGGAACAGAGCCCATAGCAGAGCTTGGAGCTGCAAGGAGGAATGGTAGATACTTAGGAGCAATTGCTTGTTAGACTTTTCAGCAGGAAAATGATGAACCATTTAATTCCCTAGTATATATTGATGGTTACATTAGATAGATACTTCGTTCCTATATTTTTACATATATTTCTACCCTAACCTGACTTCCTCTAAGCACTAGAAGAGCAGGGATTAAGTCTATCTTTTTACCTAACTCTTAAGAGTCTAACAGAAAGCCTGACCCACAGAAAGCAGTCAGTACAAATCTGTTGAATGGAGGACGCCTACATTCTTCTGGCTACATTTTTCTGAACCTTGAAGTCTCAACAAAATCATCAATTATCTAGGAAGTCTCCTCTGATAGCCCAAGGCCAGATTTGGCCCCTGTGCTCCCAGTATCTTCCCCACCAAAACAGCTTGCACAGAAAGGTATTGAAAATGCCTGTTTACTCGTCTGTCTGGGGCCCCACTGTACTACCAGCCCTATGATGGCAGAAATTGTGTCTATCTTAGTGATCACTGTATCCTTGGTCCTTAACACAGTGCATGGTACACAGTAAGTATTTATTAAATGCATGAAAAGTACGTGAATAAATGAATGGACAAATGCTTTGAAGGTATATGTAGCAGGATTTGATCACCACCTGGACCTGTGAAGTCAAACAATTCTGAAAACTGGAGGAAATGCTGCCAGCGGTTGATTAAATGGAGACTTCAGGAGGGAGGAGCTGGGGACAGAGATTATGAGTTAATGTGGCCAGTTCAGACGCAGGTTAATTTCATTACTAGGGTCCTTCACTGAAGGCGGCTGAGCGATCTCACAGTATTTTGGTGACCTTGACTTTGGCCTTTTTTTTTTTTTCTTTTCTTTTGAGTGGCGAGAATGAAGAAGTTTTATGTTAGAATACAAGAAAATTGAGATAACTATTTTCTTGAATAAGCACATTGCTGTCATGCCATACTGGATCAGAGTAAGTATACATGTACCCTGCAGACAGATATTCACACCAGCTGCCTCCCACCTCTACATAACTGAGACTTAAGAACTGGAACCTTTCCCACAAAAATATCATAATTGGCTCAAAGCACACAGTCATCCAGCCAGTTGTTGTTCTTGTTCATTGTGTAAGCCACCTCCTTCTCATTCAAACTAAAACAAAATCAAAAGGAGGAAGGAGATGCTCGGCCACTTCTTCCACGCTTAACCTTGCTCATCTATTTTTAGCCTTAGTCAAATTTGATGCAGAGGCAACAGTTGCAATTTTATTCTGAAAAAAAAGTACTAAAATGAAGATATTAGGAACAAAATTTTTAAATAAATTTAGGGACTCCATTTCCTACTTCCATACAACGTGTGGAATTTCCATGGAATCCTAGCCCTTTTATCTTTCTCTTTTCGCACCATTTCTGAACGAGAGAGAAAAGGAGAAAGCCTATCTAAAGAGCAAAAGATGGATGGTGACACAAAGCCCTCCCCTGAGATGCTTCTAGAAGGAAATATGAAGAACTCTAGGAAACCATGGGAGCCCCTATGCTCTGTACATCCATACCTGGCTTCCCTTTTTTTAATTTCTCTGATCAACCCATGCACATTGAAATAAATTTTTTAAAAACGTATACCTAGGAGCACCTGGGTGGCTCAGTGGGTTAAAGCTGCTGCCTTCGGCTCAGGTCATGATCTCAGAGTCCTGGGATGGAGCCCCGCATCAGGCTCTCTGCTCAGCGGGGAGCCTGCTTCCCTCTCTCTCTCTCTCTCTGCCTGCCTCTCTGCCTACTTGTGATCTCTACCTGTCAAGTAAATAAATAAAATCTTTAAAAAAAAAAAAAAAGTATACCTATACCCAATGTTTCCTTCCCCCAAAGTTCATCACCCACTCCATACCCAGGTCTTCGCAAAACTGAGTAAAACACAGCAACAATCCAGGTCACCAAGGGTAAACAATTTATACCCCCGAGAAAAGAGACAAGCCAATCTTCAGACTGCATCAGAATAAGTGGTCATTGTTTCAATATTCTTGTTCTGCTTCCATTTTTGCTTGACATGTATACCTGTCTTCTAAACTCTTGGGGTCAACTAAGTCCTTTGGGCTAGAATTAGCCTGATCTACTAAAGTCACTTCAAGTAAACATACCTTGAACAATGCCTATTATCTGTATGCACCAGTTTCTTCTTCTAGAAATAGTTTTTCCTATGCCCAGAGGTTTATTTTGAGGAATGGTAATAATTCTGATTATAAAGAATTTTTACAAAAGGGAATACTAATGCAAATAATGGCACGAATTATTAAATGCCATATATCTGCTCTCCTATTAAACTTTGCCAATTATCAATAGTAACATTTTTCTCAAATATGTATCCCATAATCTGTTTCTAGGCCTTTAGTTTGACTTTTATATTATTTCCATAATCTACAAAAGCAGTCATATAGAAGACCAGAATTCTGTTCTTCAAATCCCCGAACTTGCATCTTACTCTAACCTCTGTGCCTTCTTTGCTCATATTGTCCCAACTCAGCATCAACACTGTCATGGATCCCAGTAATTTAAATAAGGCACTCCTTTCAAGAGATATATCAATTATCTTTTCCAGGACAACATCCCTGGACTCATACCATTCAATAATCTTTTACTTTACACCTCTGTGTTTCCACAACCTGGCTATACCAATGTTTTCCAAAATGGGGGGCTTGTTCTTTGTGAGATCAGTTCAGAGGGTTTCCACCAGCATTTTTTGAAAACTGGAACAGAAGAGGAAACATCAGAATATATTCCATATAGAAATTAAGTATTGTTCTGTAAAACATATTATTTTTGTAAAATTCCATTTATATGTACACATGCAAATATGTATATACATAGAGAGTCATGCTGTATAATCCATTTCTCATTGTGGTTGCAACCCAAAGATATTTGGAAGCCACTTGCCATAACATACCATGAAGTATTTGATTTATATGAGCTGTCTTTCCATGGTTTTCCCACCTAAGGAAGAGTGTTTTCTCTCTCCAAATATATATTAAATTCTGCAAAGACAGACATTATCTTTCATATTTCTTTCAACGAAGCCACCATCAAGATTGTTTTTGCTTGCATATTCCATACATACTTATATATTGAGTGTTAGTGTAAAAACTCACCAAACTCAAAAACCTGAAATTCTATTGGTGAAGAGGAGGAATGTACAACAAAACAACAAACACAAAAGAGGGGCGCCTGGGTGGCTCAGTGGGTTAAGCCTCTGCCTTCAGCTCAGGTCATGATCTCGGGGTCCTGGGATCGAGCCCCACATTGGGTTCCCTTCTCAGCAGGAAGTCTGCTTCCCCCTCTGCCCTTCCCCACTGTTCATGCACTCTCTTTCTCTATCTCTCTCTCTCTCAAAAATAAGTAAAATCTTTAAAACACACACACATACACACACAAAGGAAAAAGTAAAAATCAACTATTAACCTGAAACAAAGAAAACAAAAAAGATGGGTAAGTTGTGTTTTGTTTTGTTTTGTTTTGCTTTGGTACCTTTTATTTTAAAGGGGTAATGGTCTCCTCAGATCCCCAGAAGACAGAGGTGTTAATAGAGGCAAAATTATCAAAGAAGTCTTCATGGGGAAGCCATGAAGATCAGTCTTTTAAAAGGGCATGAAAGCAGGGGCACCTGGCTGGTTTAGTTGGAAGAATATGTGACTCTTGATCTCAGGGACTGTGAGTTTGAGCCACACGTTGGGTGTAGAGAT